AGGGAAAGACAGTGATAAAAACTTGGTAAACCCTTCAGATTCTTCAGTAAATGCAATTGTTATTGTGAAATACAGGAGGTCTTGTCATGGACAAGACCTGTTAGCCTATAAAACCAAAAGAAACACATGGTCTAAATCCCAGTGGTCTTGCAGGTAGCACAGCTGTAATGTTCGCACACTAAATAATCATTGGGGAAAAAATTATAAAGCATTGATTTATCTGTAAGCAAGGGTACTACCCAGAATTTTATTAATCTCAGGAACCCTTTAGTCACTCCTGATTCAATCAAATGCTAGAAAACACACTTTTGCTCTCCTGTCAAGGTAACTTATTGTATTAGATATTTCCCAAAATATCAAGAGAATTACATATGTATGAATCTCCAGGAAAGCTTTGCAGGAAGGATACTAATGTTCTTGTTCTTAAAAGGATATCCTCATATTGTCACAAAGTATTAGTAATATTGCCATTTTTCTTTCCTTGCTACGGAGTTTTGAGGGCATTGCTTATCTCCAACCATTCATCAGCATCTGTAGGACACTTTAACTCTCATTTACCACCTTGAAATGCTCTAATCACTGTGACGGATTCCTGCGGCGGGAGCCTGGCAGCGGTCACTCAAGTTAGGATCAGGTTTGCAGTGGGGCACATGGGAAATGGGGCAGTGAAGTAATTGTTTCAGGGGACCTTTGCTAATCCCTCTGGTCAGCGTGAATGCTCGAGCCGATTATGCTGTCTTTTGGGCATTTTTGTGAAGCTCCCTTCTTGGACCTGTGCCTTGAACATAATGGTAATACAGAATTGTGCTTTATTGCATTTCCTTCAGGTTTCCAAGGAGTCCACTGGGTATTGCTATTTCTTAATAAATGACCTGAATTTAATTTGTAGCTTAAGAAATCCAGAGCCTGTGTATTAGAACGTCTTTCTTTCCGTGTCTTCTCTCCTTTAGAAAGATAGTGTTTAGGAGTGTGAGAAAAGTGACAAAGGAAATTACTTCAAGGGGTAAACCTTAATTTCTGAAATTCTGGGTTAAAGGTTGCTTCCTGCTTAGGAATAAAAGCATTTTCTGTTAGCAGTGGGAAATGCTCTCACTGCATTGTAGACCAGAACATGGATGTGAAACAACTAAATCAAGTCTCTTCAAATGATCTCACAGTCAGAGCAACACGGTTAAAATGGTGATTTGCTATGTAATAGATTTGTCTAAATTTTCATGCTTTCATTCATTCTCTGTCATCCAGAAAGTTGGGATTTAGTTACCATATACTGAGATCAAGTTCATTGTCTCACTGAAATGGGGCCTTTTAAGGCCAAAGACTGTGTTTCTGTGGCTTCCATTTCACTGTGGATGCAGCTGAAATACAAGAAAAAATAATAAGTACTTACTGGATAGGAATTTTTCTTTTTTTTGACAATCTTTTGGTAGTAACATAGCAGAATTTAATTACTGTCAATTACAGGTTTTAATTAAATGCTAGTAAGCACTTATTACTGTGATAGTGGAATGGGAATAGCTACCTGATGATTTAAGGGCCATTTATATGAGTAATTGCTCCTGAATAAACATAAAACTTTTCTTATTTGTTGCTGAGATTAAAATTTGAAAAGACCATAAGAAATGCATGGCAGACCTCTTGTTTTTGAGGATCTTGCTTTTGTTGTAGATTGGCTTCATTTTTTTTGCAGTTAATAAAGTTTGCAAAGTTGTATCTTCAACTGCAGGGATATTTTGTGTAGTTTGTGGATTGCATGTTCAAAATAGAATTTTATGCAAATTTAAAAAACTTAAAGTAAATCACTAATAATTTGGGTATGTAAATAATTCATTGTGGGTACCATCAGTTTAATTGCATGTGCACATGAAAAATCTTCATTTGAAAACAAGCTTCTTAATATTCAGTTTATATTTATGTCAAAATCTGTTGAGATATAGAATAACTTTATGATAACAATGGGAAATCCATAGAAGTCTTGAAGTTTGATTTAGGTAAGTACCAGAAATATGGATGTTTATCCATCCTACACATATCTCTCATGGGTTTTTTGCAAAATTTCTGGTTCTTTAGGCCTTGAGGGAGGCTAAACATGTATTGTAATTCTGCATTTGGTTCCCACTAGACTCTACAAGAGCTGAGAAAAATGAGAAGAAAATTGCTCATTCATTTTTGAGCTTCCTCAGAGAAGTGTAGTTAAAGTTAGGGGTATTTTTCTGTCTGCTTTCCTCATTATAGTGGTAGCTACAAAGCTGGAAAAGTTCTATGTATTTGACTTGTTATTAAAGTAATTCAGATCTGGATCATGTGAATCTTTCAGGTCTCTTTTTTTGGTGCAAATTGCGTGAATCTTTAGCATTTTCTTATTCTAATCTGTGATGTTAGTAAGCTTCTACTGTGAGCTTAATGACGGATGCCTTGGAGACCTGGGCTACTAACTATGCTCTTAATTTCTTCTCAGTCTGTCTGGCTCTTTGTGGTAGGTTAGGAACTTGATCGCTAGCCTCAAACATTACCAACTCAACTGGAATGAAATAAGCTGCTTTCTGTGTGACATGAAAAGGCTTTGCTTAGCAGTGTTCGTATGATGATGCTAAGCAGGTTTGGAGCTGGCACGCTGCTGAACTTGGCAGTTTCTTTGTTAAAATATTTTAATCAATCCCACTGCAATGTTTTCTCAATGCTAGAATTCTGCCAAACATCTGGCTGGGAAGTTGCCCTCGGCAGCTGGAGCATGTGACTGTCAAGCTGAAGCACGAGCTGGGTGTTACGGCTGTGATGAACTTCCAGACCGAATGGGACATTGTTCAGAATTCCTGGGGCTGCAACCGCTACCCTGAACCCATGAGCCCCGAAATCCTCATGAAACTGTATAAAGAGGAAGGTCTTGCTTATGTCTGGATGCCAACCCCAGACATGAGCACTGAAGGTAATGCTCAGACCACTCTTGCAGCTAAATTAATCGTAACAAACCCTTTCAGTTACTAATCTGTCACTTTCTTGACTTTTTTTTTTCCTGTGTAAATTTTGCATAAAAATGTAGCTAAGGCACAAGTAATAATTTCTGTGTGTGTTTTCTCTAACAAATTACTCATATTTTTTTAGTAGGTGGAGAGGCCATCTAAAGGACTTTGTGTCTGGCAGTGTATGTGTATTTGGGTTTACAGCCATCCGACATTGATATCTGCTTGACTGTTTTTGCTTTCGGCTTGAATTCAGCTGTATAATGAAAATTTGCTGTGTAGGTGGAAGATTGCAAGCTTGCACAGCAGGACAGCTTGCCATCCTTGCTGGTTAAAAATGGAAAGACAGTGTTGTATGCCCGTCTCTGCTATTCCCTTCCCCCAACAGATCATTTTTCTTTAGCTATATTATCCCAGTCTGATGCTGAGATAAATGATCTCGATAGAGTCATTTATATAATTATTTGTAATTAATTTAGAATACCCATAGCACTTCATGTCATGACATAAATTATTATTTTCAATTCCTCTGTTGGAATGCTCAATTCAAAATCTTATTTCGAACCAGTAGGTTAGAAAGCGTGTATGTTTTCGAGTGAGTAGCCTACCAGGAGAGTGCTTTCAATAGAGTGGAATACTGCTGCCACGGACAGAGCACTGTCATATCAGTAATAGGACATCAAGGAAGACAGGAGACCTTAAAACAGGGATTTGAAATGGCTTAATGTCAGTGCTGATCTGTGCTATCAGGAAGAATTAGGTTCTGATGTTTGTGGCTTCAGTTCCCGGGGTAACAGGGAGAAAGGCATCGGGAAATGTGGTGTAGTCATCCCTTTTGCAGTGAGATACTGTTCTCTGTTGTTTCACCATATGCTTAGTACACAATTAAATCATAACAGTATTAAGTTGTACAGGGAAATACTCTTCTGCTCTTCCTCCCTCCCTTATTATTGACATAATGGCCTTCATTACAATGTTTTGGAAAGCAGCAGGAGATAGGTAGCATCACAAACCTCTAGTAATAAAAAACATTGCACTTTTGGCTTGCTAACTTTAAGGCTTTGATGTAATTTCCCGCCTTGTCTCAGTCCCTGTGAAAATTAATATGCCACACACGTTCAGTGTTAACCAGAATGTTTATTTAGAGAAGCCTTGGGGCATTTTGTGATTTCATGTGATCTGAATCTATGTTGCCAGAAGAAACAAAGGTTAGGGTAAAAGGTCATTTGGAAAAAAAAAAAAAAAAAGAAAAAACCCAGAATATGTCAGATTGGCCACTGTGATTCGCAGTGCATGAGGCTGTACAGACATAATCACAACTGTGAACCTCACTTTCCCAAATGCAAATGAACACGTCTTGTTTTTAACCTTAGGAAGAATACAGATGTTGCCACAGGCTGTCTGCCTCTTGCATGGGCTACTGGAGAATGGACACACTGTCTACGTGCATTGCAACGCTGGCGTTGGCAGGTCTACAGCTGCTGTCAGCGGATGGCTGAAGTATGTGATGGGATGGAGCCTGAGGAAAGTGCAATACTTTTTGGCTTCCCGGAGACCAGCTGTCTACATCGACGAGGAAGCTCTGAATCGTGCTGAAGATGATTTCTACCAAAAATTTGGGCGTCTTCATTCCTCATGCAAAGTACAAGAGTAGAAAAGCAGGAGAGGAAAAGGAAGGTGAAGAGGAATCCTTGCATTCGAAGCCCAAGGACTTAGAAATCATGCGTCTCCTCTGCAGATTATAAGCTTGTCATAAAAGTCATGAGAATTTGGTTAAAAAAGTGCCTTTGAGGGTTTTTTATTTGCTTTCTTTAAGCTGATATGGATCATGTTTTCAAGCCTTTTGCTGCAAGTATGAGACCTAGAAAATCTGAAAAGGGAAACCAAGATTTTCCTTTAACTACTTGCCTACAGGAATTAAGATTTTAGGGTAGACACTAAATAAGATGTGAGGTGAAATAGTTAGAGTTGGCAATATTTCAGTGACAATAAGGAGAAGGCATTCTCAGAAAAACAGGTACAAACGTTGACTGGGTTAATGTTCAGGTTAGGATGGAGCTGATTGTCATCAAAGCTGCTCAGCTATTTTAGGTGAAGTGTACATTACTGAAGTGTTTTCTGTTAATTTTGTAGAAAGTGGTATTAATGTGAAAGACCAGGAGGAAACTGAATTTTCAACTCAGTTTCTTAAACAAAAAGCTGATGTCTACTGCAGTGAATTAAAATTTACTCTCTTTGCGTATCTAGTTCCTGTTAAATATTATGAGTTACAGCTATATTCTTTTGTGACACTAGGGTTATGCTGGGATGTGGCATGAAGAGAGGAAACGGCTCCACTTACTGATGTCTTACTCTGTTGCAGAGAAGGGCTGCTATTTGTTACCTTATCCTGGGCTGTGAGAGCTCTAAATCAAAGACGCATCTTGCTCTTCTGGCCTGCGCACTGCTGTACAGTGGGCTCTCTGGGTGCCAAGTCAATCTAAGCAGTAACCACTGGGCTAAAACAGGACCTATAAGAACTGCGTGATAAGCTTCTGCATGTGAGTGACACCACAGCCTCTGTGTTGTTGACCGAGATTAATTTCTTCCCTATAGCGAAGTCTCTCCTTGTGCAAGCGGTGTGTGGATGTTTGATGCTAGATTTAGCTGATTGAAGCTAGTACTGGGCTATCTCTGGGGTGAATGAAATGAATACATTCCTCTATAGGAGCAAAGAGCAGCTCTGAGGAGGATTTCTCAGGAGCTTAGCCTCAGTAGGCTAATGTTGGCTTTGTGGTGATCCTTAATGTTTTCCAGTGCTGCTCAGTCCCTTAGCTAAACTAGGCAGTGGCACCAACAGCTTCCAGCCCTGCTCAGGTAAAACCAATTTGCTGTAGGTTAAGTCCAAGAGAGAAGGGAGAGAAGGCATTTCCTAAGGAACAGCGAATTAAGGATGCATAAACATTAAGAAACCTAATTTCTATAGGTTTGTTCTTCAGTGAAATCTCATTTTTTTTCCAGCCAACTTGTTCCTCTAAAGACCCAGTCAGCACCAGAGTGGTTTAGCTGATATATATTGATTATCTGAATACTTAATGGAGAAACTATTAGATATGAACTGTTTGTGGCAAATGTCCAGAATAATATAATACGGTTTATTTGTCCTATACTTCAATCATCTTCCAAAGGAAAAATGTTTATTTAAGTTATTCTATATGTGTGGTTTTGATTATGACTTTGTTTCTGATTTTTTGCTTTGAAATAACACTGTCTAGAAAACAGATGAGAAAATTTCTCTATGAAATAAAAACATAATGACAATTCCAGGAGCCCATTTTGTCGTATGCCTTTGTCTCCCAGTCTCATGAATAGCAAAAAGGGTCATGACTGATATTTCTATATGAGGATGGGACCAAACACTTCCATGGTAATAGCCCATTTTTTGACTGTTATGCTGTGTCAGTTTTCATAGGATAGGCTGTTGAGAAAAAAATCTCAAAAAAACAGCACAGCAAAGATGTGTGGGTGGTATGGCACCTCTGGTGCCTGCAAAGACCCCCAAAAGGGGTTGTTTCTCCTGGCCTGAAACAGAGAGCAGAGGGAGTATGTCAGTGCTGCTGTCTCGCTGTTGGGCTCTCATGCGACTGCAGAGCTACAGCTGAGCACCCAGAAGGGCCCAGAAGTTACCCCATTTTGACTGAGTTTAAAGTAAAAATTGTGAGGAGGAGGATGGCATAAGAAGTAGAGAGTTGAACTCGCTTAAGTTTTACATTCCTGTTGAGATATATTTGAAACCCCAAGCTTGAAATGTGTTTCCAAGCATCCCTGGCAGACAGTCCTTTCCATCAGATGCAACTTTTAATATATGTTGGGACAAGTATTTGTAATTTTAGCTCATTTCACAGCTAGCTATATGTCTTTTTTAGGGCTCCTGGGACTGAACAGCACATAAGATGGCACAAACAAGTAGGTATAGCTAAGTAAGTATAGCCATGCTCTGTCAGCTATTTCCTAATTCTGATTTTATTGCCACTGGAAGCAGACTGGTGCTTCATTTGTAGGGCAGGAATTCAAACGCTACAGAAGCCCCACAATCAAGGAAGCCCTGGCAAGGTGCTGTTAATTCATTGTGTGTTGTCATTTCAGTTTCCTTATCTGCAGAAGTGCTGGGAGACTATACCACATACAGATTGCATTAGCCGATGAACTACATGAAAACAAGCTGCCAACATCATGTTAACAAAGAATGCAAAGAGATCCCGTGGCTTGCAGTCCCTTTGTACCTGTTTGTAGTGTACTTTTTTCTCTGCCACCTTCCTGCCTTCCTCATTAAAGGCCACCCTGTCGAGTAACATTCATTCAAAGCCCTCTCTAATGAATGCAACTAGGAATTTAAATGCTAAAGACATCATTGCAAGAGGCTACAGCAACAGTAAAAGCAATCATATAAAAATATTCCATTTCTCCAACTGTATAATTACATGATAAATCTGCATCTAGAGATTATCTATTAGAAATCCAATTTGTAACATGTTCTTACGCTGATTGGATCATTAGCTCTTTCCACAGACTAGCCTCTTGATGCAAGTAGGATGAAAGGATGAGGACAGTCTGTTGTTTATATACTTGTATATTTCCTTGCTACTTTAGTCATAGAACTGTGACAAAATTTAGAGAAGAACACCTCCTATAGAAAGTATTAGAAACAGATAAATAGTAATGGTTATTTTAAAGTGGCCCCAAGAAGCCAAACTAATAAACAGACAGTAATGGGAAGCAGGTAGAAATATTTTGATAACTCATCATTGAAAAACATTGGTTGGGGAAAATGGTTTTCTGCTGGTATAAGCATCGATACTATCTGACCTGTTACAGGCGGTTTTTACCTCTGTTAAATTAAAGAACAAGGTGGAATTTGCTACATGGAATGGGACCATTTATAACTCCAGGTACTTAGAGTATCTTGATGCTATTATTGGGCCAAACAAAAGTGTATATTTTTCCCAAGGCTATGTACGTGACGGAGCTAAGCAATCCTAGCTCTTACGAGTGATTTTGTAACAAACGTAGCCCTTTGAGGAATGGCTCAGGCTTTAAGTGGTATAGTTTTGTGAATATTTTTCCTCTTGACATCAGAAAAGTACTAATGAGAATCTTTGATGAATGAGATGGGTGCTCTTGTGGTGGAAGACACAGAGAAGGCAGAGTTACTGAATGCCTTCTTTTCTTCGGTCTTCACTGCTAAAGCTGTCCCTCATGAATCCCATACCCTGGAGGCAAGGGGGAAGGTCTGGAGGGAGGAAGATTTCCCTTCAGTTGAGGAAGACCAGGTCAGAGACCACTTGGCCAAGCTGGACATCCATAAGTCCATGGGCCCTGATGGGATCCACCCACAGGGTGGATTGATGAGGAGGAGGGATTGAGGGATTGGAGCATCTCCCTTATGAAGAAAGGCTGAGAGAGCTGGGACTCTTTAGCCTGGAGAAAAGAAGGCTGAGGGGAGACCTTATTACTACTTACAAATATCTAAAGGGTGGGTTGAAGGAGGATGGAGCCACACTCTTCTCGGTGGTTCCCAGTGACAGGATGAGGGGCAATGGGTGCAAGTCGGAACATAGGAAGTTCCGTTCCAACACACGAAAAAACTTCTTTACAGTGAGGGTGACAGAGCACTGGCACAGGCTGCCCAGGGAGGTTGTGGAGTCCCCTTCTCTGGAGATTTTCAAAACCCGCCTGGATGCAGTCCTGAGTAATGTGCTCTGGGCAATCCTGTTTTAGCAGGGGAGTTGGACTAGATGATCTCTAGAGGTCCCTTCCAACTCTGAAAATTCTGTGATTCTGTGATTCTGCATGACATTTTCAGGTAGCAATGCAACCTAGTGAAAGGAAACTGGGCTGGCTGGCATGACTGTTGAATTACCTCCTTTTCTCCCTTACTCCTTCCTTATTTCACACTTTGAACTTTGGCACTTGTCTGCTCTAGTTGCTTAGGTTGTAAGTTTTCAGTCTTCCTTTTCTGTTTGTACAGCATCAAGCACAGCGAAGCTCTGGCTGTGGCTGGGACTGCAGGTGTTATAGCAGGTTGTACTCCGGCGTAGCTGAAAAGTCTCACAGCTGGCAAGTGAGTTGTGTGCGCTGCACAAAAATGTGTGCAGAACAGTGTCTCTGCTCTGGGGTCGAATGAAAATTTGAGACTGCCAGCCAAGTCCTCATGGGCAAAGATCTGGGAAAAAGATAGGCTGTAGGTTGTGCAAGAACAGGTAATAAAATCCCTATTTAAAACAAGAAGGCAAAAAGTCAGACTTATTCCATTACCTACCATGATGGCCTTTTTTAGTTCTAATTTATAAAACCCACTGACTTGACTGGTCTGTAATTGAGAAAAAAATTTTGTTTTGAAGTAGTCAAAGACATTTGCCATTACTGTATTGCCCCGCTGCTTCTTTTATTCTTCATCATTAAACTGCAGTGAGAGATTTCAAACTAATGACAGAGTTAAAAAAAATAAATAACAGAATTCTTTAAAAAATTCTTTAAAAAAATATACTGAAACTGTGTAACAGTTCATAGTGTAACTATGAAAAAATATTTAGAAGCATAATAACTACTGCAAAAGCATATGTTTGGCAAGCAAGCCCTACCTTTTTGAAAGATAATGAACATCAGGATGCCCTT